TCCCATGTATAGTATAATCATATAACATTCNCCTTGAATGTCGTTGACGATATTGGGCGCGCATTCATTGATGCCATCAAACCATTTAGATGACTGACACCCATTCCGCAGTGCAGGCTTCCAAGGACAGCTGATCTAATGATCGGGTTCTTTTTTCGGCCAATCACATCATCAGTGGCAGGAGTAAACAATGGTACTGTGTTAATTTCTGAGCAGGAAATGCAGGTGACTTTCAAATAGAATGGATCACAATACATTGAGGGTGATGCAACCTTAAAATATATGCATATATAGAATTGAGACACAATCTCATGTATAGTATAATATAACATTCATCTTTAACATAAAACCTATAATATAAAAATTAGGTAAAACCTAATAGCGGAGCTCCCAAAAGATATGCATGCTGGATAAAGATGGGATGCAAGACACATTGGTCACATTTTTAGTACATGTTTTGTCAAGACTAATTCATTTTTTCTAACAAAAAAATTCCATTACACTACATTAAATAATTATTAAATATTTTCTCTTCAGCTTTGTTGATGCAAAGCAGTGATACAAATATATGTAAAGAAAACCACTTATTTTGAATTCTTGTGGTATTGTGTGCAATCAGTGCACAATTTCTTATGAAGAGTACACCAGGAGCCGGTTGTACGAAAGCCGATTAAATCTAACCTAGGATTAGCCTTAATCTAGGGTTTAAATCCCTAACCCTGGGTTAATTAATCCTAGGTTAAAAAAGCGTTGCTCAAAAGACAAATTAATCCAGGATTTACTATCCCTGGATTAGTCTTGCAAAAACCTGTTTTAACCAGTTTTTGTACACGCCATCTTGCGTGCGCGGCAAGTTTTCCCGCGCTTAATTGATTTTGCTCGCGCTTAATTGGTGCCACTCTGTTGCAATATTTTATCAGTGTGGTTTACATTTGCGAAAAAAAACAAAAAAACAAAAAAAATGGATCAGGGTCAAGTAGGTGAAGTGAAGAGGGAGCGTAAGCCGAACTTTACTCCGTCTGAAGTTTCTGTTCTCACGGATCAAGTTGAGAAAAACCTCGACATTATTCAGTCAAAGCTTACAAATAACATCACTAACAAGAAGAAAAATAAAGTATGAGAGGAGGTGACAGCAGCTGTTAACGCAGTTGCTAATTCTAGTCGCACCGTCCAAGAAATCAAAAGACAAATGGAAAAATCTAACGTGCAAAGCAAAGCGAGAGTACACGATGTACAAAAGGGAGAGAAAGGAAACTGGCGGAGGTCCACAACCAAAACGCCCATCAGATGCAACAGAAAGAATCATAACAATTTTCGAAGATACACCCAGTTTTACTGGACTAAGTGGCTTTGACTCCGGTAAGCATTTTAAAACTACTTAATGATTTAAGCTTATGTAAATTTATCATGTGACTAGACATGCGTCATCCAGTCCTTAAAATGGCCGCGATGAAAATCATAATACAACGTCTGTTTACGATAAGAAAATTGTCTGTGAGGGAAGAAAAAGATAAGTGTCGATGAAATTTTAGAACTTTTTCCATTGGATATGCATACACGAAATTCTCTGGATAAATAATAGGTCTATGTTGCATGAAGTGATTTTATATGCTGTCGATCATATGATCGTGGCAATTCGGCAAGATGACGAAACGTTTTTTTGTAAAATTAAAACATTTTACCTTGGATTATAATACTAATTTTTAAGTTAATTTTTAGTGAGTATTACGACGGTTGAACTCAAAGGAAAAGAAAAAACAGTGTTTCAATGTTTAAGCTATTTGTCAAAGATGCATTAATTAAGCTTTATTATTTCAGGGGGAACAGAGGAAATTTAGGGGGGATCTAAAAATTTAGGAACTGGAAAAAAGGGATGTCAATTTTTTGGCCATACATAAAAACATAGTTAAAAAAAGATAAAACAGGGGGTGTTGATTTTTTAATTTTTAATTGTTTGTCAATGAAAGCTGAAATGCCTATAAATAAACAGCTTTATAGTTACAATTTAATACTAGGCAACGCTTTCGTATCTAGTCTAGGACCAATCAAAATAATATATATTTTATACAACTTTGGTCAACAAAAATCTCTCAATAATAATAATAAAAATTAACGATTATAAATATTACACTGATTTATCCCACTTTAGCAATTAGAAATACACTAAAAACATAAAAATGAAATTATAGAATCAAGAAAGCATCGGATAGAGGTTTATCCTGGTTAAAGAGGCTTTTATTCTTTTGTTTTCTGTTTTATTCATTTAGTGCTTGTTATTCTTTTAGTATCAAGAGCACCCAGTCTCACTTTCATGCTGTATTTTAGCAGGCTTGACTTGTACAGATGGGAGTAATATGATCTGTTATCTGTGATGAGCTCGTTTGTTTATTTGACATGTTTTACAGCTAATATACAACATAAAAGTGAGATTGCCTATGTCTGATACCAGAGCATGGGGTAAAAGCAAACCATATGGAAATGTCTTGCTGCTTGTTGGTGGCTCAACAACATTGTAAGCAAAAGAATAAAAGACAAGCTTCTTGAACCAGGGTAACAGATTGACCATCACTTTCAACTCTTGTTTTATATTTTTGTATATTTTTTGTGTAAGAACAGGAACAAATATATTATAAGCTGAAATGCTAAATTTTCCATGGTTTCCTAATTTTGTTTTAGGGGAACTTCCAACCATTGATGCAGATGATCTCTTGTCTCTGGACACTGACTGTATCATCAAGGAAGAGGCTGACTGTATATTCAAGGAAGAAAAGCCAGCTAGTAAGCAAAAAATAACTGCAACTGCTCGCAGCAAAGTAACAAGCAATGATGTAATGAAGGCGCAGCTTGAAGCACTCAATTTGAAGAAAGAAAACCTAACACTTAAGAAGACAAAGCTACAATTAGAAATACAACTGCTAAGGGAAAAAGTTTCACTTTTAGAAAAAGAATTTTAACCGTTAACAGTTAAAATTCTTTTTCTAAGAGAGAAACTTTTTCCCTTAATAGTCATACTTATAACTTTAAGTTTCCTTTTAAAAATTGCATTACTTAAGGCAAAATTTTGATTACTTGCACATGAAGAAAACATTTTTGAGAGTAGAGTGCACACCAAAAAAGTTTGAAATGATTCTTTTAAATCAATCAGCAATTCTTTAAAACAGATAAAACAATTAACAACTAATAAGATTTAGTTATCAACTAACTTTGAATTCTTTGAGGTGTAAAGTAAACAATTCACTTTTTGTCATTGTGTTCATGCCCCAGTGAATTGCTGTTTTTGGCTTTCTTAGTGTTGCATCGCACAAATTAAACCTCGATCAGAATTCTTTTCCTTCTTAGCATTGGAGCATATCCATAAATTATTATATGCAATCATGTAATATATTTAAAAATGTCCTATTTATTGGAGTTTATTTAATATTATCATCATTATAGAAGGCCAAATAATAAACTGCCCTCATAAAAACACACACCTAGCGGGCCGATAATGATTTTGGCGGGCTGCAAATCTTTTCGTATCGGCCCTGTCGCTGATTGGCCCAACGAGGGTCTTACGATCGTGCTCGACCAATCAGATTTCATTGTGATAACAATTTGAAAGCGCGCGAGTTGTTTTTAGCTGCGACTCAAGTACTATTGAGTTTTTGAAACGATTTATCACTCAAAAAATATGGCAGAATATCCTAATTTCGACCTGGAAGTAGCGAATAGTCAAGGTTCTGACTTAGGCCAAGAGCAGCTTGACGAAATAGAAGCGAAAGCTCAAGCCAAAAACACAAAGAGAGCAACTGAATGGGGCTTGAAAAAGTTTTTCAAGTGGAGTGAAAAACGACAAATTAGTGTTGACTTGAAAACTATTGCTCCAAAAGAACTTAACGAAGTTCTAAGGAAATTTTACGCCGAGGTTAAAACAGAAAAGGGACAGCCCCTGACCCCAAGTGCATTGACAGGAATAAGAGCAGCCATACATCGCCATTTAACATCAGCTCCGCTTAGCAGAGATGTCAACATTCTACAAGACAGCGCCTTCATGTCTGCTAACAAAATGTTTGAAGCGAAAGCAAAGCTGTTCACGAAAGAAATGAATGTAAAACCAAATCATAAACAATCTATCGATTCTGGAGACATGGAATTTATTGAATAAAGTTGAGTGAAATTCATTTATTTATTGATGATAATGAGAATAACATGACTTTTGTCGGTCATATTGTTTATTTGCGTCCCTTGTAGCGTCATTTGCAAATGCAAATGACGCTACTCGGGCCGCAAATAAACAATATGCCCTTCAAAAGTCATGTTATTGTCCTATTATCACTGAACCAAAGAGCAAAACACAATGTATCAAGTATCTGAAATGCATATGCCATTTAGATTGCTCTATTTCAGTGACAAGTCGTCCATTAGTCACTAAATACTGACTGATAGTTTATTATTAAATTATTAGAAGTTTTTACATTCATATCTGCACATGTAGAGTTGGATACATGTTTTATAAATTGTGGTGAAAGATATTCCAGTTACGCTATCAACTTTTTAATGTAACAATTAAGTGGACTTTTCTTTGAGTTCATTGCAGATAACTTTAATCAAATTTGAACTCGAAACCATATGATTACCTACAATATTTGTGTATTAAATAGTTTGTTCCACAAAAGAAATGTGATTTAAATTTAATTAATAAAATATTATTTATTTATATTTATCTCCAGTGATATATTTCATTTGGTTTCATACATTCATTTGTAATATTTTGCTTGTTTTGTACATGTAATACTTTGACTACTGACTGACCTTGTGATCATGACTGTTTGACTACTGACTGTAACCTTGTGATCATGACTGTTTGACTACTGACTATAACACATGAACTGGATACAAATTCAAATATTTTCTTTCTGTACATGCAATTTCTAAATGTAGTAGTACACTACTCCATACATATATGAATTATACCCATATCAAGTGACTGAAGTTTGACATAGATAATATCATTTGAAAAATCAAGAAAAAAAGGTGTTGCAAATGTGGTCTCTCACACTCAGTCCTTGCTGAGGGCCATGGTACTCCTCAAGTATTTGGTTGTCTTCATCATTACCATCCTCCATTGGCTCGTTGAGGAGCACTGCAATGTTGTGCAGTACAGCACAGGCACCAATAATCAAACATACTTTTTCTGGCTGCATCCTTATCTCACTACACGCTGGGCTGTGAGCCACTCAAATCCGGCGCTTTTGACTTTCTTGAGTCCGCACGATTTTCAGCGGTTTTCCATTAGAATTTACTTATCAAAACAAGATGGCTGCTCGTGGGTATGATAAAGTTTTTTGTAGAAATTGAGCGAAATTCATTAGTTTGGGAACGAAATAAAGCC